TAACACACACACACACACACACACACACACACACACACACACACACACACAAACACACACACACACATACACACACACACACGTGTTTACCGGACAAAGTGCGGGGTTCCGGCCACCATCTTGTTGAGGAGGTCCATGAGCGAGAAACGGAAGTAGGTGGCCACCGTCTGCTGGATGCGCGTCATACTGGCCGAGCTGGCCGTGGAGGAGCTGGTGTGCTGAAAGAGGGAGAGGGTGTGTTAGGGGGAGCTGATGTGTTAGGATGAACTAGTGTTTAAGAGGGGACAGGGCGCGTTAAGATGAGCTAGTGTGTTAGGATGAGCTGGTGCGCTGAAAGAAGAAAAGAGTGTGTTAGGGGAGCTGGTGTGTTAGGGGGAGCTGGTGTGTTAGGATGAGCTGGGGAGTTGGAAGAGGGAGAGAGTGTGTTCGTGGGAGCTGGTGTGTTTGGACAGGACAGGGTGTGTTAGGATGAACTGGTGTGCTGAGATGAGCTAGAGTAGTGGAGGGTGCAGAGTGTATTAACATTAGGAGGTGTGCCAGGAGAGACGTTCGATAGGCTGTTAGATTAGCCGAAACGTTTTCAATGAGTAGGACAGAGTGTGTTAAGAGGAGCAGGTGGGTTGGGAGAAGGGGAGAGAGAGTGTTTTCGGATGAGCTCGTGTGTTGAAGGGGACAGAAGGAGTTAGGATGAGCTGGTGTGCTGGAAGAGACGTTTGATAGATCGTTAGATTAGCCAAATACAGTGGGAGTTTCTTCAAACTGTGATTTCAAAATGGGATAAGGCGTTTGTTTGTTTGTGTGTTTATTTCAAACGATTTCAGCGAGGGGTGCTCAAAATGAGATAATTTATATCCGAGGAGCATTTCTTTGGTTGTAACACAATGTCTCTGATGGAGGATTTCTTTGGTTGTAACTAACACAATGTCCTCTGATGGAGGATTTCTTTGGTTGTAACTAACACAATGTCCTCTGATGGAGGATTTCTTTGATTATAACTAACGCAATGTCCTCTGATGGAGGATTTCTTTGATTATAACTAACGCAATGTCCTCTGATCTTCTCACACCACTACAAACACAGTGAGGGAAGGGAGCACGGGCACGGCAGGACATAAAAACAATAGACAAACAAATAAAAATGCCGAACATGCTTTGTTTATGGCAGCACGTCACAATTAGGAGCGATCTCAAGACAAACTCTGTATACAGCGTAGCTCAAGTGATTATGTCAAAATGGAATTTAAAATACAAATAAAATAATATGTATACATTTTACTAGACAGACTAAACAGTATACATATATACGCAGAAAAAGCCCTTGAAGAATAGCGTCTTCAATATAAAAATTCCGAAAGAGAAAATAGGCACAGGAAAAGAAAAGAAAAAAGAAAAGAAAATACTACTCATTTTATGATATAATTAAACCAGATACAAGACAAGCATACATCAAAAGTACATGGATGGCATGCGCTTTCTTTCCCTATGAAATGTATTATATAATAATATATATTATACTATGTCCATGCTAACACAATTCTGTAGTAGATAAAAACTTTACAAACTGACGCTATTAAAGCACCGATTTTAAAAGACTTCTTAGCAAAAATAAAGGGGGAAAAAGAAATGAGGAAGACGAGAAAGACAGGAACTATGATAGTATAGTTTTAGTTTTAGTAAGAGTTTTACGGCACTTGCAACACAATAAGGTCATATAAGTGCCGAAGAACTGAGGTGTTACAAGTACAAGAGAGAAACAAACACAAAATAGAAGAAAGGGAGATAAGGATGATAGATGTTTGACAGCAGGAAAGAAGGAGAAAGCCACACCAGAGCACCCACCAACCACCCACCTCTGATAGTTTTGAGTCCAAGGTGGCTGTTTTTTAAAAAACTTACAATCATGTTCTAGCTGAACAGAAGTGAACAGGGGACCACTTCAGATAGAAATTTATTGGCTGCACGTTTAGTTTACTACTATAACTGACTACTTGATCAAAAACAATTATTGTTTAAGTTGGACGGCAGATTGTTGGACCGAGTAGTTATAATTAGGAAGAGGGAGGAGACTTTTAAGAAATTAGAGACAAAGGCAAACATCAGACGGTTATTTATCAGACCAAAGCATGTGGTCTTGTAACTGCATATATTTTAACCGTTGAATCTTTAGCCAGTTTGCGGTTCTTTCATCTATTAAATTGTTTCATTAAATACTGGAAGGTGATGAGGGGAAGAAGTCATCTGTGTTGCGGAGGAAAATATCTAAACTAAAGAAAACAGATAGTAATAACAATTTAAAAGTTTGCACCCCTTTAAAAAACATCAATATTTTTGCATTAGGAGTTCATAAAACTGAACTGAATAACATTGTTTAAAAATATATATATATATATGCAGGCACACCTTAACACACACGCACGCACACGTAAGCGAAATATATAATTATATTTGTAAATATAGGGAGCCGTAAACTAACAAGTATACGACAAGTACATAAACTATTATACAGGTCTGATACCAAGGAGGATCACGACTAGATAACAGAGTTACGCAAAAACAAGAAGAAAAGAAAAACACATTGTGTCCAAGTAAAGAAAAGAAAGAAAAAAAAAAATATATTAAAAAATGGAAAACAAAGATATGAGAGGAAAGTGATTATTGAATCGCTCGGGTGAAAATGGTTCTATAACAGAACTGAACACTTTTATAATCCTGATATTTATGTGCCGTTTCTCTTTACGGAAACTGTGTCAGAGTACAGTATAATATACACACGTACTTACACTACCAACATTCCTAACTGTACGGTGTTTTCAGGCAATCGTCAAAGTTTGGGTATACGGAATCAGATGTAAGTCAAACGAATTTTGGCTCTAGGACATTCACCATAGATATGAGGAGTCATTGGTATCATCCTCAAGACTGTTTATTTGTCTTGCTTGGGATGACAACAATACCCATCTATCTTAATAATACATGTAGATAGCATTTGTATAGCGCAAATCCCCGCTCAACAGCAAGCTCTATGTGCTTCACAATATATACTATTACCCCAGCAGACCTGAGAGCATTCTGAAATAACCTCAACTTCCTCGGAAGCATACAGTGCAAGCAGCCATTTACAGGCGCTAAAACACTAACATACTGACAAGATCTGTCGCTGTCTATGGCCGGGACCCATTCCCACCTCTATGAGGTGAGGAAAATTCATGTAAAGTGCCTTTCCCAAGGACACAACGTTGGGCCCACGGCTCGAACCCCGACCCCGCAACCTCACGAATCCGGTAGCCTAACCCCTAGGCCACTGACACCACTTGAACCCAAGTTGAAAGATAGAGATTCAACATCCCAGCAGAAAGACCGATATAATACTCGATAAAAAATATCCCAACTCGGGAATCGAACTCGTGTCTTCTGCATGTGACAGCAAAGCGCCAAACGGCAGCATCACAAAACGCCAGTAATGCAAGCATACATGTTTTGAAAAGCAAGAAAAAAATATAAAAAACAAAAACAATAGTTAAAAAACAAAAACAATAGTTAAAAATCAAAAACAATAGTTAAAAAAACAAAACCAATAGTTAAAAACAACCCAAACAAGAAGAACAATGCGCCCCGCCCAGGACAAAGTCAACATGAGAGACAAAGAGTCCCGACTGCTTTGAGCTCGCAGATGCAACGTAAACATGTGTATCTGTGAAAGTAGTAGACAACCCACACATTAAAGGTGGACAGTTAAGAGGAAACGAAAGTTGATTTGCGTATAAAGGAGCAAACTTGCAAAACTAAAATAATGCAAGGGTGAAAATGGCCTTTAAAAAAAATAGTGCGTCAAAAAGTCACAAACTACACACAAATATTCACACACACACACACACACACACACACACACACACACACACACACACACACAAACAAACAAACAAACAAACAAACAAGCAAACAACCAAACACACAGAGATATGTGTAAAAATCAAATGAAAGCTATGTCTAGCTGTTCTGAGCACACAATACTTACAAGAAGACTGTAGATCTGTGTACGGACCACAAGCAACAACATTACGGTACATTGAAAAATTGATTGAAGAGGGGGAAAAAAAGTAACGCAACTGGTACCAAAATGCTGTGTTCTGTTTAAAATCTGTGATGAAATACCTGCTAAATGTTTGCTCTATGCACCTGGCGTGACATTTTGTATCATTGTCGGCTTCTACTTTTCTTAGGAGGGTTTTTTTTATGTAATATAAAATTTAAACGTTAGGTAAAGGGTGATTTTTAAAAAAACCCACAAACAAACAACTATACAACGTTTTTCTAAATATCTCGCACAAAATGTGTACAAGAATGTTGTAATTTGGAACAGACATACTTTTTTAAAAGGAATTTGTTTGACATAAAATTCAAAATGAGGAAACGTATTTTGGAAAATGGAAATGGCTTTTATAAGACCTACCTGTCTGCAAAATGCACAAATTTAAAAAATCGTGTAAGGAAAGTCAAAAAAATGACTGGTTTGTTTTTTCCTTTTCTTTTATTTTTAAAATCTAATTTTTCCACCCCTGTAACCTTTAAACAATGTTTCTTTTCTCCTACAAGTTTATTTTTTATTTATTTTTAAATTCTGGAATTCCGAGAACCACTGGTCTATATTATGTCATCTCTTGGACTCGACACATTTTAACGCGTCGTTCGTAATGTTCTGTGGCGGACAAACACAAGGATCCACCCAACCATGAGTACTTAAAGCTACACACACAGTACACCTTACAGTATGGACCATGGAGCTGTTTCTAGAGACCGTAGTGGGGGGGGGGGGGGGGGGGGAGGTTGGATCACCCTGTATATCTACAATGTGTTTTTACCATTCCAGTTGAGCAACTAAAAATTCCTGACAGAGCCAAAGGACAATAAAGGGCCATCTCATCTTACCGTAAGGCCATTTATTTATTTATTTATTTCTAATTTCAATCTTGGAGTGCTGGGGTGAGAAGCGGGCGGACGTTCAACCTAAAATTAGTATTCATTCTGTATCACTTTAAACCGATTCTGCTTTTAACAAGGGGCGATAACAAACATTATTCCTCGATACAAGACGAAATTAAAGTTACTTCCCTTGATCAAATATACGTAGATTACAACTATTATTTTGCAGGTGGGAAAAAGGAGAGCATGATATCATTGTACCGATGAGGTAGAAGGGTACTTATTTCTTATGTCTAATATCAGTTTAATACTTATTGTTGAATGCCGACCGTAATCATGCACGTGCACATGAAGACAGGCAAACACAAAAAGTACTAATTTATGTTGATAAAGAGTACAACAGTAAATGTAGAGAGTTTATAGTGCAAGGACACGCAAGATGCATTATGCAGGAACAGGAAATTTATTTGCATAATACAAACACATCTAAACACATGCAAAAACTATTAAACAGGAAATTTAAAGGCAAATTACAAACACATCTAAACACTTGCAAAAACTGTCAACAATGTTTAACAAGAGAGAGAGAGAGAGAGAGAGAGAGAGAGAGAGAGAGAGAGAGAGAGAGACAGACACAGACAGAGACAGAAACACAGACAGACAGAAAGAGACAGAGAGAAACAAAGAGAGAGAGAGAGACAGACAGAGACACAGAGAGAGAGAGAGAGAGACAGACAGACAGACAGACAGACAGAGACAGAGACAGAGAGAGAGAGAGAGACAGACAGACAGACAGACAGAGAGAGAGAGACCAAGACAGAATACCAAACTTGCAAATGACAAATTGTGAAATGGGTAAACAGTAAACCCACAAACGTCACACATGTAAAAAAAAAAAAACAACACCTGCCAAAAGTGTAAAGAAATCTAAAACACTATCAAACGTATTGTGCTGTTCTATACTTCAGTCGTAAGGCCTTCAATTCACCCACCCTTTGGAGATGGCGGGGGGGGGGGGGGGGTCAATAAATATCTTCACCAAGCAAAAAAAAAAAAGTAAAAAGGCTAGTTTGAGCAATTTTGTACATCATCAAAGCAATAATAATAAAAAGAAGGATATAAAACAAGTAGAAGAAAAACAAATGATATGAATAATAATAATAATAATAATAATAATAATAATAATAATAATAATAATAATAATAATAATAATTTTGAAAATAATAATAATAATAATGATGACAGAAAAAAGACCGCTCAAATTTAGTAACAAAAATAACAATATGCATTGGAACAACAGAAAAGATGAAGACAAGCCTTTGATCCCTGATGAGACACTTACCCTGCTGCCGCCCATGCTGGACGTGCTCTTGGAGTTGTAGGAGGAGATGTTGATGGCTGAGGAGGATGTAGACATGGGACTGCCCACACGGGACGAGCGCGAGCTGGAGGTGAGGCTACCACTGGCCAGGTTGCCTGGGGGAGGGAACAAGTGGAAGAGTAAGTGTGAGAGTGCTTTTGTGAGTATTCGTGTGTGCGCGTGTGGGGGGAGGGGGGTTGTTTGTGTGCGTGAGTGTATTGTGTATTTTTGTTTGTCGGCGAGTGTGTGTTTGTGTGTGTGTGTGTGTGTGTGTGTGTGTGTGTGTGTGTGTGTGTGTGTGTGTGTGTGTGTGTGTGCACATTTGTGTGAGTGTGTGTGTGCATTTGTGTCTGTGAGTGTGTGTTTGTACGTGTGTGTATATGTGTAGATCTGTGTGTTTGTTTGTTTGTTTGTTTGTGTGTGTGTGCGTGTGAGTGTGCTGTTTGTTTGTATGTGTATGTAAGTGTGTGTCTGCGTGTGTGTGTGTGTGTGTGTGTGTGTGTGTGTGTGTGTGTGTGTGTGTGTG